AAAGCACTACGGTAGCATTAAAAAGTTAGGGTTATATTTCAACCCTATTATAGTGTTTTCTGCGCTGTCAAAACGGGAAATAATAGCAACGGTTGAACACGTCACGAGCACTAGACCTTGTTGTATCTTTTCTTGTGCGTGAGTGATGTGGTGCAGCGATTTATCATGTCAATACATCGACCACGGTAATATTTCACCAACAACGTATCTGCTGTGTCGTCAATTAGGTGTCTGAGCGTGCAGAACAACACGCCTAGGCAAGCCGAGCGAGGTACCGCACTGCTTCAATGCAGACGACATCGCGTGGCTGATTATGCTGACCAACGTGATGTCGCTGTCGACTGTACGACCTGCGAGTCAGCACTTTAAGTTTTAAATTTTCAATGAGAATGCGTGTTTATTCACTCATTATGCGTGCAACTGCATGTACTTGTGCACTTAAACAAATCAGGATCAGTATTTTGGGCTGCAGTGATAAACTTAGATTAGAAGGAGGACTGCGCTATGGCCTATTTACATAAGTCATTATTAGATTGTGATTTGGATGAGCAGTAAACAGTCAACATGACGCATAAACCTCATGCGCAGAGCATGAACAAGACGGGCAATGATGATATGGTGCATGGTGATATGGTGAATGATAATCTGACGAGTATCATTACGGAGTGTGCAGTAGAAGTTGGAGGTACGGTACTTAGACAGGACACTGGCAAGCTGTTCCAGGAGACAAATAACCCCATTAAGAAACGTCAAAGCATGAAAGCCTCAAACACAACAGACAAGATAGAACCGTCAGAGCTTTCGAACTTGATTAATAAGCGTAAGGTATCGGATGTAAGAAGGTATAACATGGAGGAAATCAAACAGGCTCTAAAGAATGGAGGCAGCGTCAAAGCGGTAAAGAGGAAACTTTGGATAGACAAAAACAAGATGTATGCACTCAGGGGCAAGGAAGGCAAAGTAACTACCAATATGAATAAAATTGTTAAAATGGCATAGAAGTTTTACGTTGATCTGCACAGTAGCCGGGGCATCCACGACCATAATGCAAGAACTAGCAGTAACCCAAATGACATTCCACGAGTAATAACAGAAGAAGTCAGAAAAGCCTTGCAGAGAATGCAATGAAGAAAAGCTGCTGGTGAGGATCGGGTAACATCAGATCTGCTGAAAGAAGGAGGACAAATTTTGTCAGAAAAACTAGCCACCCGATTTACGAAGTGTGTCCTGACGGGGAGTGTACCAGAATCTTGACAGAATGCTAACATCATCTAATACATAAGAAAGGAGACGCCAAGGAATTTAATAAATACAGGCAGGTCAGCTTGGTCTCCATCGTAAACAAGCTATTTACAAAGGTAATTGCTAACAAAATTAAGACAACATTGGAATTCAATCAACCAAAGGAACAAGCAGGATTTCGAACAGGCTATACTCTACAATCGACCACATTCATACTATCAATCAGGTAATAGAGAAATGCTCAGAATATAGCCACCCACTATCATGTAGCCTTGATATACTACGAAAAGTTATTTCATTCAGAAATAGAGAGAGACAGATTTATTTACAGAAAAGCAGAGAGATGGGCCTCAGCGATAGCTTGCTCTAACCTACTACTCAACACTAGGCGAGGAGAAATCATAGAAGAAAGACTAATGGATGAAGATGGTTAGAAATATCAGCAGTCATGGAGACACCGTGGATTCACAGGGTCGACAGGGCATATATAAACATCCTGGAAGAAATATACGAAGGATCCACTGCCACCACAGTGATTCATAAAGAAATCGACAGAATACCAATCAAGATGGGTGTAAAGCAAGGGGTCACAATCTCGCGAATGCTACACCACGTGCTTATAGAAGGTTTTCAGAGGCCTAGAATGTGAAGAGTTATGGATAAGAGGTAATGGAGAGTACCTTAGTAATCTGCGCTTCGCCGATCACACAGCATCGCTGAGTAACTCATGATTACTGAATTATAAAAACAGAGCAGAAAGGTAATGATTGATTTTATGTGGGGTTTAACGTCCCAAAACCACCATATGAATATGAGAGACGCCATAGTGAAGGGCTCCGGAAAGTTAGACCACACAGGTTTTTTTTTCACGTGCCCTCAATCTGAGCACAGGAACTTACAGCATTTTTGTCTTCGTCGAAAATAGAGCCGTCGCAGCCGGAATTCAATCCCGCAACCTGCGGGTCAGCAGCCGAGCACCTTACCCACAAGACCACCGCGTAGGGGGAGCCGACAGGCATATTTTAAAATTATTCTGCAGAAAACGAAAGTAATGTACAACAGCCTTGGATGGGAAAAGCGCTTCGAGAGAGGTAATAGTGCACTTGAAGTTGTAAAAGACCACGTCTACTTAGAACAGGTAATAACCGTGGAGCCTAACCACAACACTGAAGTAACGAAGCATAAGAATGGGATGGAGCACATTCGGCAAACACTCAAATCGTGACTGGTAGATTGCCCCTATCCCTCAAGAAGAAAGTATATAACAGCTGCATCTTGCCGGTACTTACCTACGGAGCATAAACCTGGAGGCTTACAAGGAGGGTTTAGCTAATCTCAAGGACGACATAGCGAGTGATGGAAAGCAAAAGGATAGGTGTAACCTTAAGACACAAGAAGAGAGCAGAGTGTATGAGGGAACAAACCGGCGTTAAGGATATCATAGTTGAAATCAAGAAGAAGAAATGAACATGAGCCGGGCATGTATCACGAAGACAGGACAACTGCTAGTCATTAAGGATAACTGACTGGATTCCCACAGAAGGCAAGCGGGTTAGGGGGAGATAGTAAGTTGGGTGGGCAGATGAGAGTAGGAAGCTTGCGCGTATGAATTGGCAGCAGCAAGCATAGGACCGAACTGACTGGCGGATCGTGGGAGATGTCTTTGTCCTGCAGGGGACATAGGCTGATGATGATGATAATGATGATGATGATATGGTGCAACCTACCGCAACGACAGATCAACGCTGTCGCCTGCTTTAGAATGAGAAAAAGCTGTCATTGCGCATAAACATGCTGATCAGATGGACGATCTGGTAAACTGTAACTAAATAAATGTTAAACTTAATTATGAAAACATTTGCAAAAGTGCACTATCAAACGTATTACAAGGTCTGTGAGGGAACACAAAGACGTGAGGAGCAAATTTAATCATTATATTGGCCACACATGAGCGGTAAAGCAAATAATTGTCGCGCCCTTCAAGTCAGCCGAAGGTGCGTCGAGGATTTGCCTCTAGACTTGGAATTATTCTTAAGAGCTGAATAAAGTGAAAGGCACGAGTACAGGCGGTGGTCCGCGCTCGCGAGTCAGCCGTTTGCCCTTCTGCGTTCAGCGGAACGACGTCGGCTAACCAGGCTCCCGCCTTCGACAAGAGCTCACTTTTAAAAAGATTTTCAAGACTTACTGCTTACTTATATTCACAGTTCTCGACATCAGTTTCTGCGCAAGAACACATCAATGGCAAAACGCGGATAATAACCGCGAAACATATTTGTTTGTTCGACGAGTCTAGAGTATTCAAGAGTATCACAATGCAATTTTTTTTCAATGACAACAACAACAATAACAAAACGAGGAGGTAAAGAGACTGTATAAGGAGCCTGACGCTGGCGATCTCGTTTAGAACGCTTACCGACACTTGATCTTAATATTTGCGAAAGAAGTCGTCGTTATTTTTTTTTCTTTTTGTAATTTGCGAAGTGGTAATTGTTTCTGTAATTTAAATACACAGACGGAAAGAGGCCAGCAGTAGTGTGATCCCTCACCAGCGCGGGGTGCTTTCAAACTTCAGAGATATAGTGAAATACACACGTGAGTATAATATAAAAAATATGGTAACGCTTTCGCCAGGACACAAAGTGACAAGGCGAAGGCGAAGCAGTCTATGCTCAACCGCCTTTTTTTTTCACTATTTCCTCTTTTTTTTACTAGAGCTGCGCGTTTTAAAAGTAACATCCTTACTGAAGGCATGAAGACCACAAGCGCTGCCAACATGCATGTACACATGAAATGCGGCAGATACCAGAAATATGTCCACATCCAATTGGTAAACTTCTACGCTGTCCAATGCGACCTGTCTAAGAGTCTCTCGACAAAATTTGTCGGTTGAATTAAGCGGTAATTAAAGTGCCAGAAATCGCAAGTCAAAGCAGGCGCCATCGTAGACGGACGAACACCTACGAGCTAAGCGCTCCAAGAATTAATACTTTTTTACCCTGTGGCACCATGCTAGCAGAGAAGAGCTCCATTGATGCGATTATCACACATCCCTAGCTATCTTATATTTCTCGCGTGAACGCTGCGTTCCGTGATTATTTCGGGTTATTGATTCCGGGATATAGCTTCTGTATTGAAATACTTTATCACTCGTAAATGGTTTTGCCAAAACGCAATGAGTAAAAGCTATACCACATAGCATCGCGTTATTGTGTAACTGTCTCTTCGTCTCCACCTCCTCCCCCTTTTCCTGCATTTTTTATCTTTAAACTTCGCGCTTCTCCATCCAAAACATTTTGTGCTCTTCGTCATTTCTCCCAGCGCAGAGCATCCAGCCTGTACAGTGCCAATTTTTATGAAAGCGAACACGGGAGCGCGTAGCCTGCGTGCTCCGGCGGCTGCTGGCAGCTCGTTCAAGCGTGAGCGAAAGCAACCACCGCCTCTTTTCGCGTCATCTCAAGACTAGTAAAACAAGCAGTCACTGGCGATAATGATATGGAACCAGCGGCAAGGCTGTAATCCCCTCCCCCTTCAAGACAATTACGCAAGAGGCCGGTAATCACCTTCAAGAGGAAGGGGGTCCCAATTTCGCCTCTCGTTTCGTATCACCAATGACTGCTTGTTTTGCTCGCCTTGATACTACATGAAAAGAGGCTGTGGTTGCTTTCACTCATGCTTGAACGCGCTGCCAGCAGCAGCCGGAGCACGCAGGCCACTCGCTCCCGTGTTCGCTCTCATAAAAACTGGCACTGTACATGCAGTGACTAACCTACATGTCTTTTGATCTTGCCGCCCTTGTTTTGACTAGCGACAGTTTTCTGTTCAAAAAGCCCTTGAGAGTGATGCTTTTTTGCCACTATATGGGGAATACCCCCCCACTCCTAGCACCCGCTTAGACGAGCACCTCTAAGAGGAACACTTCATAACTCTAGTGACGCAATAGATCCTGGTCACAATCGCCAAGCACTTCACCGTCTTGCACTCTTCGTCGCAACTCTTGCGTTCCTGAGAGCACGCTTGAGCGCTTAACGTCGACGTAACAAGCTTAGTCCCGGCCGTAAACGCCCCAAAAGATGAGTGAGTGCACCAGGAAAACGGCGGGGAAGAGAATCCTGGAGACCCAGTCGATGAGCACGGGCTGGGGCCACCGGCCGACTCCCTTCTTGTGCTTCGCGGTGCAGGCCACGATGAGCGCCGTCTCGACGAGACCCAGGAACACGAACAGAATGCTTATGATCATCCACACGTTCATGGCGACCACGTACGAGACGCCCGGCATGTGCGCCTGGTACTGAGCGGTCACCAAGCTGAGAAGCGAGGTGACGCTGAGCGTGACGCGGGCCGGCAGCGCCTCGCAGGGCATCCAGAAAGCGGCGAACGACATGAACACAATGATAGTGCTGGGCGCGTACTTGTTGATCAGGTAGTAGCCGGCGCGACGACGCATCTCGATGCGGCCATAAAGGCAGCTGAACGTGCCTGCAGCACGAGAATGGCGAGAAACGGAAATATTACGTTACCACACGTGTTCCAATAACAGCAATGGTTTCAGACAACGGGGTAAATTTAGACTATGGTGTCAACCTAGAAAAGTTCTGCCGATACCTGTTAACATCTTGGCCGTGTGGGAGCCACAGACCACGTCGTTTAGAGCGAATCAATATTGCCTTTTTTGTTTTTGTTATTTGTTTTTGAGTACAAGGACACTATATTGCGCATGACATCCTTGCATAATAATGTTTAAAATTGAAGCACGAAGGCATGCTGATAAACAAATTTTTATATACGCAGCGCCATGTCTTTTGTTGTGTCAGCATCCCACATTTCACGTGGTTTGCTGCCGTCTTGAAGGCCAAAATAAAATGCACGAGTGCACTGTAGAAAAAAATAGTGCCTTCAATGGTAATTTTCAGATGGACGATCAGGCTGTTGGCCCAGTTTCATGAGCGGAGGGCACAGTTCAGGTAGGGTTAGTAACTATAGGTCACAATAAAGTACAAAATGTTTTCTGTGGCCGTGAACTTTCAATAGCTATATCGTTTATATGTAACCGTTAACCTAGTGCAAAAAAATCGCAGTTTGGCTTCGTACTCTCAAAGAAACGAAAAGGAAGCCATTCATTAAACTCACTTTGGTTTCTCTACAATGCGGTGCAACATTGGTGCTCATCTGTCATTTCAAACCACACGTTTCCTTTCTACAGTCGTGTTAAGCGTGAAACACTCGTATGCCTGTTTTTCACGACTTCTCCTTTCCACCAACAATAGTGATCATATGACTATAGATCCTAAAAAATAACATTTTTGCTGTGCAAAATGCATTATTTCCACGCCAAGTGCCACAACCATCGAAATATCAAACCTAAAACAGAGAGTGTAAGTTCAAGCGCAACTACCCTGCCACTTTCATAAATGACAGCGCAAAAAAAAGGTAACCCTTGTGATGAGGTGTCCCGGTCCCTGAATGAACACAAAGTGTGCTCACCGACGTCGAATGACTTCGTGCAATCGCCGTGACCGACGTAGAGAGCCGTGAACTGCGACAGGGACAGGTTCTTCGTGAGACGGAAATTCTTCCAGTAAAGCATCACCTGCTCTCTGGGGTGCACCACTGCACCGAAAGAAAAACGTCCATTTCATTCGACAAACGGTACACAGGTCAATAATTACGTGTGGAAAGTGCTTTCTACTCACGGCTGCTGAGTTGCATGTCGCAGAACTGATTGTCGTGGGGGAACCTGCTGAGATCCATGTTGCAAGCCAACTTGAGGGAGACGCGGGCGGCCAGGAAGAACTGGCCGGACGGTTCAAGCGTGATGTAGGCGTACGGGAAGATCACCTTGTCCAGGCGTCCGTCAGCCGAGTTCTTGAAGAACACCTCAGGCGTCCACAGTTCCGGGTACCAGCGTGGGTCGACAACGATCTTGTTGTTTACGCGCCCGCTGAGCCGCCAGTCAGACCAGATCACGTGCAGAAACAGATCCATCTCGACAAACTGCATCGAGCAAAGGTTCGGTGCGATTAATGCAACAGCACTACGACACATGGGGAATTAGTTCTCGAGTGTCGCTCGAAATTGGGCTGACTCCGCTGATTTCACAAACGCGGAAGTTCCAGACAGCAAGCAGCAGTTATTCTTTAGCTGCTGAGTCATTTTCATATTCGCGCATGACGATTGCCATAATCGCTACTTATTGACAGGTATATTTCGTCCTTTCACCCTAATAGTCATCATCATACTTATAGCTGCTGTGTTAACCATGCTTTTATGTTTCATGGTTCTTAACCTTTAATTGACACAAAAAGTAGCAAAAGAACGGCGAAACAGGGAGTTCAGTTTAGTTTTTGGTTAATTTCTAAGTAAAGTAAGCGCTTCTTTGTCTCTGTGTAAACAAAAGTTTGAAAACCCTTCGTGATCACTTCAGTCCACTATTGCCCTTTCCTTCATGCGAATCTGAGAACAGGACTAATTTTTACACACAGCAGCGTTTGGGCCAGCTGTTATCCTTCAGTATTCAATCATTGGACTTTTACTTATCACCAAACATGTGCAGAAGTATTCAATATTTTGCATATACCAGCGCACACTAGACCATAGCCCTATGAGGCTGAAAATAAACCTGTATTAAGCGTTCAGCAGTAATACTCTCGAAATGGTATACCCCTGCTAAACATGCCAAATGACAATTAAGATATCCCTTTCACAGAGGAGGAAAAGCAGGTGAAAATAAGTTATTCACTAAATATAACGGCTGCCTTTCCGGCCACGAGGAAATTAAGACTTGATTGATTTGTGGGGTTTAACGTCCCAAAACCACCATATGATTATGAGAGACGCCGTAGTGGAGGGCTCCGGAAATTTAGACCACCTGGGGTTCTTTAACGTGCGCCCAAATCTGAGCACACGGGCCTACAACATTTCCGCCTCAGGAAATTAAGACGAACATATGTAGAGATGCAAGGCTGTTGATGATCTTTTCAGCAGCACACCTACACAGGCCACGGAAATTATACAGAAGTCAATGTTTCCGTACTTTTAACTATTCTAGAGCTAGAGCTGACCTCCTTTCCTGGCTTCAACATTATTAAGTTGCGTATGCAGTAGGTATATGTTCCTTTGGCTTCGTTGTTTGATATTTATGACTTTTTTCTACTCTTGTAAAACTAATTTTCTTTCAACTTCTATGAAGCTGCGTTTGTTCGTGTTAATAATGTTCCTTCCGTTAGTCCATGTTCTAAGTGTGCATTCGCGTGCTAGGGTCTCGTCGTCCAGAGCACATTTGCCTTTGCCTTATTAAACCAAGACCATTCTCTCTGAAATAAAGAGCTGAACCATAGTGCGCGCCGGAAGCACGTGAAAGTATTGCAGGTGAGTGCTACACACAAGAAAGCACAGAACTTTCTCACCTGCCGTCCTTCGTCCACCGAACGGATATTGAGCACCGCCACCGACACGTTCACCGCCACGGGTTGGCCTGGGAAACACACACGTACACGACTGTTCAATATTTGAACCATTTGCTTGTTCGAAATACCTGCGGGGATGCAATCTCGACAGAGGTCCTGGATTAACGATTGTTTTTCCAAATGAGCGAAGCAGTAAGGACCCGCTGAACAGTGTCTCGTATGTCTTTACACAACGAAGATTGCTTGATACCGGATGTACAGAATATAGGCCATTTGTAATCAGATTGCATACTTCCGTTTTCATCGCACCTACAAACGCGTATTATAATAATCTAGCGTACCTCAATTTCCGTCCAAGGATCCCAATAGACCACTTCACTTCAATGTGTGGTCAATACTGCTGAACGAACCTGTCATTTTTAATAATGTAAGTCGATGCTTTAACAACCAAAAATATTAACCCATTAAGGTACGGCAACAGGACTGCAGCGCAATCAAGCACCAATATGCGCCAATACAATTTATCTTATGAAAGTTGCACATATTGGCCAGTCTTCCCACCCATGTTCACTTTAGCTCGCCCAAGGCACCTGCAACACAAACTAAAGCTGGACATTCTTCTTGGCGATTCAAATATTAAGGCACTATATCTAACCATGTGAAACATCTAACGCAACAACTCCTGGAAAGAATATTCGCACGCTTCAGTTGCGTAATGTCATCCACTGACAAAGTTCTGGGTTGCAAGAATGCTATATTTCGAAGAAGATCACCATCTCTCTAAAAAATCCCATTTTAGGGCTACCCCCTAAAATTTCTTTACTGCTTGGCTCCATTTCTTTGCAGCAAATCTGCAAATACGCGATAAGTCAACGAGCCAACGCTCATACAAGCGCGAATGAGAATTAGAAAATTCAATTTCCTTCCTGACTGCCAGTACATAAGAAGCGACTTAGTACAGATAGAATAAAAAATGACTAATGAAGAAGAATACAACAACATAGCTGTAAAAAGTACAGAAACGAATTTTTGTTATATATACATAAAGAGATAAGAAAATAAGAAGAGCACAGTGGCTTTTCCAATACCTCCTTCAAGGGGCGGCTGCATGACGTCATAGTCCTCCGACACTAGGTCGCTCAGCTTCACACGGGGCCTGCAATGGCAGAATTTTGCGACGGTTAGTTCGGCCTTAAATCGTAGTAAATAAGACCTAATATACAAGTGTATTTCGTATTACAATCACCGGAAGCTATTTCCAAAAACTCTAAAAGAATGTTTTACGTGAGCTTTCATATTATCAGTTTAAATAACGCAAAACGAAAACAACATTGAAATAGTGCGAAGCTTAATTATTTTTTTCGATTGATCCTTCGTGTTAATGAAACATGCAATAATAGCGAAAGTTGGGCTAGTTATTACCTTCCCAAGTTAATAAAACATGTACGGCACTTAAGAAATCTATCTGCCACACCAAGTTGAATCTTCTGCTTTCGTCGTCCTTGTCATTGATAGTTTTCTTTTTTCCTTCTCGTTTTCTTTATTTTTCTAAACACCTGCAGCGTTCCGAGATCCCGAAGGAGACGGTAACAAACCCCCAGACATAAAGTTCAGCTTCAACAGCCATTGTCAGCTTCTGCATTCTCACTAAAGTCGTGTAATTTTCTCACGTTTGCTATTGCGCTGTTCTTCATGCCCGAGGGTAAATCAGGGGGTCGTTAGTTATAATTTTTAGAGCCGTATCATGTCTGTGAATTCGAAGTAAACATATCTGTTCTTCGCGGAGAACCTTGCATGGCCTGGCATCGCCTCATCTGCCGGTAGCTAGGCGGCACAGTGCTGTTGTCAGTTGTTAAAGATGGCCGTTGTACTACACACGCCCGCGCCGAACGAGCGACGAACATTGCTTCGTTTTCTGCGGGGCACGGGACGACAGCCTATCACAGTCCACAGGTAAATGTGAATTGCGATACTACTAAATTCCCGATGCGATCTACTAAATATGCCCGATGCTCAAAACACCTCGAGAAGGTTCTATATAGTATTCATTCGATCCTTCTTTTCTTCTCTTTTTTATGTTATAGGCGTATCTCTTATAACGAAGGAATCAGCACGTTTAAGAATGTTCGGTGTACCACCGATTCCATTTAGATGCCTGGCACGGTTCCTTCAGCGCTCTCCGCTTTTTTAGGGGCGAAGCTTCTTATGGCATGGGTTTGTTTCTTCTCCGTATGTATGTATATATATATATATATATATATATATATATATATATATATATATATATATATATATGTGTGTGTGTGTGTGTGTGTGTGTGTGTGTGTGTGTGTGTGTGTGTGTGTGTGTGTGTGTGTGTGTGTGTGTGTGTGGTGTGTGTGTGTGTGTGTGTGTGTGTGTGTGTGTGTGTGTGTGTGTGTGTGTGGTGTGTGTGTGTGTGTGTGTGTGTGTGTGTGTGTGTGTGTGTGTGTGTGTGTGTGTGTGTGTGTGTGTGTGTGTGTGTGTGTGTGTGTGTGTTGTGTGTGTGTGTGGTGTGTGTGTGTGTGTGTGTGTGTGTGTGTGGTGTGTGTGTGTGTGTGTGTGTGTGTGTGTGTGTGTGTGTGTGTGTGTGTGTGTGTGTGTGTGTGTGTGTGTGTGTGTGTGTGTGTGTGTGTGTGTGTGTGTGTGTGTGTGTGTGTGTGTGTGTGTGTGTGTGTGTGTGTGTGTGTGTGTGTGTGTGTGTGTGTAAAAGCACTGACGGGCTGACGAAAGCATCGCCCCACTCATCATCATGCACTCTGTGGATATGCTGTGATTTTTTTCTTTTTTGAAATCCTGTGCGTCGGGTCATCCCGTGCGTTGTCACAATGCTAGAGGTCTGTCGTCAGTCCCATGCGCAAATGCCATTGAGGCGATGAGCCTAAGTACCACTTGCGACACTGTTGATAGCTTATATAATCTAAGTTAGTAGAAGGAGCAAAGTGTCAGTTCAAATGTAAACAACCACAGGGTACTATGAATGGTAAATATAAAACAATTTGTCATAAAAACGAAAGCTGTAGAAACAGAGACGGAAGATTTGAGGCATAAAATGCACACTAAATGAGCAGGAAGACTTAGAATGGCAACAATACACAAATAAATTGGGAAAGTCTGCGTGATCGAAAAATTCAATGCTTTGCTGCTTTAAGACGGAGCTGGCTGCAGGATAAAACTCGGTAGATTCAACATACCGTGGATATTGATGTCATACGAAGCATGTAGAGGGAACGTGACTGTGGTGTAATTGGTAAGTAGATGGAAGTACTGACTGTTAAACAGTTCATATACAAGACAGACGTAATAACATTTATGCAGAAAATATAACGATGATATCGATAGATTGATATGTGGGATTTCACGTCCCGAAACCACCATATGAATATTAGAGAAGTCGTAGTGGAGGGCTCCAGAAATTTCGGCCACCTGAGGTTCTTTAACGTGCATCCAAAGCTGAGAACACGGGCCTACAGCGTTTTCGCCTCCATCCAAAGATGACATCGACAGAACAGGCGGTGTCAGAACGCTGACAACAGTAGATCACAAATAACAGAATCGCGCTTCAAGGTAGAAAAAAAAGAGAGTGAGAGAGACAATTTGACATCAATTGTTGCATTTCAGTTGGCTTTTTAGCGTTTTTTTTCAGTGACAAGCCTACCTATATAGCCACAATCAAGAAAAGAAAGAAATGGTCAACTGTTCAGCATCGTGTGAGCCTTTTCGTGGCTACTTGGGCTGTATTATTTAGACCAACACTCAAACCTTAGTGAGCAGTACGCTAGATTGCGATGCATGCAGCAAGTGACTGCAACTGACATGAAATCATGGCTACTCGTCGCCACCCCGTAAGAATTAGGATGCTAGCGAAAATCATCATGATCTAGCGTGATTGATTGATTGATTGATTGATTGATTGATTGATTGATTGATTGATTGATTGATTGATTGATTGATTGATTGATTGATTGATTGATTGATTGATTGATTGATTGATTGATATGTGGGGTTTAACGTCCCAAAACCATCATATGATTATGAGAGACGCCGTAGTGGAGGGCTCCGGAAATTTCGACAACCTGGGTTTCTTTAACGTGCACCCAAATCTGAGCACATGGACCCACAACATTTCCGCTTCCATTGGAAATGCAGCCGCCACAGCCGGGATTCGATCCCGCGACCTGCGGGTCAGCAACCAAGTACCTTAGCCACAAGACCACCGCGGCGCGGCTAATCTAGCGTGGTTCACCTGGTTGCAGTTATCCAACCACTGACGTGAATGCTAAGGGTCTCCTTTCATTGTTTGCCACAAAACTGACGATGAATTCATTTTTACTTCAATCTCTCCCATCTTCCTTCGCACCATATACTGCTTAATATCGAAAGAGTTTCTCCGTTTAGGAACTGGTTGTTCGAAAACTGCAGCGTCAATTAGCGCAACACATTAAAGGAACCACGAAGCACACAAAAAGATTAAAGGGTACTAGCTTGAAAGCCGATTGTCACCACCATCTTTGCTCGTGTGAGTCGCATTTCTGTTATGTGAAGCGTTCACTCACGATGCTGTCTCACGGTCCCACATGACAGCACAACCTTTCATCTTCTTGTGGTCACGGGATTACAAGTTCTGGCACTTGTTCACTAGATGAGACTCGAGTGTTTGACTGGAAACATTCATCATGCATCGAGTATGGATTTCTTCGCTTAGCCACACAGTAAAGCACCCGCCAGTCAAGACGAGAACTTCGTCAGGTGGACAGTCAGTATATTGCTTCGGTTCAAGAGCCCACAACAATGACACTTATGTAATGTCTACCCGGTTGTGTGCCGAGTCTTGTGCTTTACCTTAATGTGTGACGAAGCCCTACCGACCGCTCGATCGACTTTCCGAGGTTATAAATGATCCAGTGTGCTCATAAATAACAAAGAAAAGAGCCCTTGTATACTTTCAGAATTGTATACCAAAGGATACATTCATCGTGTGTATGCAATCGCGGCATTGCTATTGTCAGTGGCGTTAGAGCCACGAACATCTGTAATATTTTGAACAAATTATTGAAATATATTTATTTTTAGCAATAAATCTCTTTAGAAAGTTAATTTGTAACTAATCAAATTCGAAATTGCAAATTGGTATCATTATTACACTCTCTTCCTGAGCAGCCAAGCTCGCGAGCACTCGTTAAAAATTGTCTTTCCTTGAAAACACATCAAATATCAAGTTACACATGCCAAAACAATTATACGATTTAGAGTAACGCCCTAGTGCCAGATTCGTGCCTGATACTCAGCACCTCTGCATCTTATAATATGCCCCTATCATAAAAAAAAAACCAAGACATTTTTCAGCGTGCACCTGTCACTCGTTCTTTTTGTGAGCGCTGCATAGACCTAAGCCTAATCGTAAGCACGCCGACATTTTTCCCCTTACGGTACGCCATCGAAACGTGACCGCCAGCATTGTGAATTGAACCCGCGATGTCGACCTTAGCAGCGCTACGCAATACAAGCCAAACCACACCAATAGCTGATTCACTTTATTATAGTTTGTATTCGCCCCAGTTTCTACGTCGGTCGCGTAGCTGGCAGCCATTTGAGACCTTGCTCTGACGTCACCGCCGTGAGTCATTGCCACGTCCGAGCCGCACGCCGTGCAGAAAACAAAACAGAAAACGTCCCCCGATACTCTCACCGCATAGGCGCAACTGAGACCTTGCGAGGTTCACACACAAAACAAGGCGCGGCAAGAGAGAAAAGTCAGTCTCGGTGCGACTTGGTAAACAAGGATAACGAATCGCCTTGGAATCTCGGCGCCGCGGGGCACAACCGTTTTGCAAGATTCTTTCCCTCGAAGCACTCCATCCGTGCCAACTGTTTCCTCACAGAGCACCGTTCGCTCAGCGGGGCAAATAACTGGAGGTCCATTTGCGCATCGCGTGAAACGAGTTTTCCACATAGTGTCATATTAAAGCGAACCTCGCCGAAAACGTGATATGCCGTTTTGTGTGTGAAACATATTTGTGTGGGCTACAAAAATATTGCACTTTAGATGCATTGCAAAATATCAGTCACGCATTTCTAAAAAAAGGTAGCTTACCAGAGAAAACAAAAAGCTTTTTTTTTCTTGTGAAACTGCTGAGA